TGGTGAGCGCCCGTGAGTGTGGTACAGGGCAGCCGTCTCCATACACGCGCGCCTCTCCTCTTGACTCCGACCTGGTAATGAACATAAGGCGACAATATCTGTGTTCCAGAAGTGTTGTGTGAGCCTACACGTGTAAAAGGGTTCCCACACATGACTCGCACTCCTCTCCTCCTGGCAACGGCTCACAAACCTCATCACTAATGAATGCTTAAACAATGAATGGAACTGACATGGTGGAAAACCCAGTACCAGAGTAAAGTTGGTAAGAGAGAATAAGGTCGGCACTACTTTCAACTCGTCATTAATAACAAAACAACTCCACAATAAAATGTTGATGCCACTCGAGACATAAAGCACTAATCTGACCTAACTATACTGCTCCTAATTAAAGAGTAGTCATTTAGCGATTAATCCCACACCTTAAACTACAGCCACCTACGTGACCTAGAGTTGTTTCCCTCGCTTCTCTGTGGGTCCACAACTCAAAACGGTTGCCACACACCGTTACCAGACTTCAAACGTCAAACATCCCCAGACGTTAAGTCTTCTTACACTAGTCCCCACTAGCGCGCTGTAGAATACCACTACAACTCAAGTTATTGCCTTCAAATGGAGTAAATCAATCAATCGCGATAACATGAACAGAACCCCTTAATACTACCAGCCTCCACATCACACCAAAAGCAAGCCTACTTCGCTCAATCGCGATCTCTTGCGGGATTACCGTCAAACTCTGGCTCGTGGGCCCGCGGCTAAGCCTCCCCATCCCTACAATTCCCAGACCTGCTCCCACAAGCATGGAATGTGCACACAGGAGCACCAGTGTGGGGCCCAGTGTGTGGGGGTTAGCTGGTGACTTATCACAGGCCCTTGAAATTATTAGGAGACTAAGAATTATAGAGCATTTATAGACCGACAGACACTGGTGTTTACCCCGACATGCTTAAAACAGCAAAGATAACACCACTCCATAAAGGAGGATATAAGGCAGAGGCACACATTTTTAGACAGATAGTACTAACGTCACACAGTATAACAAGTTTTTGAAAGGGTGCAAATATTTAAACTATTTAAACACATGTAATCAGTATGTGCATGACCGTGAACAACATGTGTTCAGAACATGACTACCAAGTCTCTCACAGTTGCTGGACCACTATGATATGACCCGAAATGCCATGGACGACGAGCAGAGCGCTGATGTAATATATACACATCTCACGAAAGTCTTCAACACAGGTGACCATGGCGTTATTGCACACAAAATTACACGAATTGTTCAATTACACAATTTAGCACACGCGCGCTAAAAAGGAATTACAGGCAAAGGAGGAAGATGGATCTTTAATTTCCTAAGGAAAAGAACCCAATGTGTCAACAAAATAAAATCCAGCCCATCAACCGTGAAGAGCTCAGTTCCCCAGGGTACTGTGCTTGCTCCACTACTTTTTCTCATCCTCATATCGGACATAGAATACCTATATAATACCAAGAACACAACCTATAGCACTGTATCATCCTTTGCAGATGACACTAGGATCTTCATGAGAGTAGGCAACATAGAGGACACGGCGAACCTCCAGTCAGATGTAGATCAGGTCTTTCTATGGGCTACAGAAAATAATGTTCAATGAAGATTGAACATTATGTTCCAATAATGTTATATGAATAATGTTCCAGCTCTTGCGTTATAGAAAAAACGGAAACCACATACAAAATGCAGGCAAATCACGCTATAGAAGGAAAAAAATATAAAAAATTGGAGCAATCATTTATAACCTTAGTTGTAAAGAACACAATAAATTACCTGTCACAACTGGAAAATAAGAGAGGTTGGATAACAAGCCTTTGGAGCAAGTCATGCCACACCCATGATAGTTGTCAAGACACTGGTGCATTGTAGGGGGGATTATTGTTACCAACAACAACTCCATTCAAAGGTGGAGAGATTGCTAACCTGGAGAATGTGAAAAGATCTTTCACTGCCAGAATCCATTAAATAAAAAATCTAAATTATTGGGACTGTCTAAAATTGTTAACTCTGTATTGTTAGAGTGTAGGTGAAAGCAATACATAATAATGTTCTCTCTGGAAATATTAGAGGGACTGGTTGTAAATGTACACAGGGAAATAACCCCACAAGAGACTAGAAGGCATGGCAGGATGTGCAACACAGCCCCGTTGACCATCAGAGGTGCAATAGGTACACTGAGAGAGAACTCTCCACATCATACTCCCAAGACCTAAAACACTCCCTGTAAACATAGGCGGCATAATATGCCGAGCAGATCAACCAGACTGTGATAGAGACATCAGGGTGCGAGCAGTACCATCTAAGAGTGTGGTTGGCTAGGCCACCAACCAGGAGGCCTGGTCGGGCCGCTGGACACTCACCCGCTAAACCAACGCAAGGTAACGCCAGGTTGGCAACGATGGTTAGTAGGCAATTGCACTAAGCTATGAACACACTCCTAACCACTTGGGCTGGTCGCTACAGCACCGACCTCACATCTAGGAGGTCGGGGTTCAATTCCCGACGGTTAAAGTGCTTGGCCACAATTCATCGCCTCTGTCCTATCCTAACTGCTTATCCTGGCATCCCTGCCAGGTGCATATAGTCGTAATGGCTTACCGCTTGTTTTTTTGTATTTATATAACTTTATATATATATATATATATATATATATATATATATATATATATATATATATATATATATATATATATGCGAACAAGCCTGAATGGTCCCCAGGACAATATGCAACTGAATTTTCAGTTGCATATTGTCCTGGGGACCATTCAGGCTTGTTCGCATTTGTGTTCCTCACGTGTGCCCCAAAGAATGAGGTGATTTGGTAAAATGCTATGCCCAAGATTACTATCCGAGTGCCGGCGGTGGGGTGGTTCAAATAGCCTCGGCTATCACCTCATTATGTCCGGTTGTGATGGTCAAGTGGATTAAGGCGTCTTGTACATACCAGTTGAGTTGCTCCTGGGAGTATGGGTTCGAGTCACTTCTGGGGTGTGAGTTTTCAGTTATATATATATATATATATATGTGTTTCAGGCAGGTCCTTAATCCTAATGTTCTCGTAATACGACCCGCCCAATGGTTTAACAACCAGGTACCCATTTTACTGCTGGGTGAACAGAGGCTACAGTTAACGATTGGCGCCCAGTCAATCCTCCCCGACCAGGATACGAACCCAGGCCAAAACGCTCGTGAAACGTCTTACCACTACACCACGGGGAGCGCTTTGCCCTGATAGTTACCTTACACGGTCACAAGTGTTTGTTACTGTAGTCTTCTATGGCTGTATTATACCTCACACGATACACCAAATACAACAATAATATCTGGTAATAATATATTTTGGGATATATTATTCCATAATATATTCGGAATATAATACTTTTCTATAAAAATTTTCCATAAAAATTCCATAATATATTCCATATATACACGGGATATATGTATTCCATATATGGACTACTGCATGTGTTACCCTTGCCGTGGGCGGTGGTGGAAAGGGTTACAGAGGCACATCATGTGTTACTGATCCCATTGAGTGCCTCTGTAACCCTTCCCACCACCGCCCACGGGATGGGTATAGGGTGCATAACAAAAAAACAAAATGAATAATTAACAAGAGTGTTGACCCTTGAGGCTGGCGGGGGGGGGGACTGAGGTATGAAACACACCATAACATTCATGTTTGAACGTTATGAATTAATTACGTTACTCATTATAAATGAGAGAGAAGGGGTGGGGCGGGTGGGCGAGAGGGGAGCGGGCGGGTGGGAGAGAGGGAAGCGGGCGGGTGGGAGAGAGGGAAGCGGGCGGGTGGGAGAGAGGGAAGCGGGCGGGTGGGAGAGAGGGGAGCGGGCGGGTGGGAGAGAGGGGAGCGGGCAGGAGAAAACGTTAAGTATGTATGGAATAAAGCGACCCCAACACTGCCCCGTTAGTGGGGACCCTGACGCTCACTATATCAAACCTTTATAAGTCTTATATGTTGCACAACATGTTATGTTCTAAGGCTTTTTAGGGGTTGACACACCTTTAATATTTCATTACTAAAATTGCCCGAGATATTGACCTTTATTGACCGAAACGCTACGCGTACTAGTGGCTGTACAAGAATGTAACAACTCTTGTATATAGCTAAAAAACAAAATCATTATATAGAAATAATTAATATATATAGCACGAAAGATCAAGCAACACTGATCTTATTAAATACTGACTACCATATTTGGAAAATGAGTCTGTGGATGCTCGAATTGTCATATATATATATATATATATATATATATATATATATATATATATATATATATATATATATATATTGGTATATTTTGGTAGCAGTGTCTCTCTTGTAAACATATGTTGTTAAATATGACCGAAAAGCTTAGATTAATAATTCTAACACAAATTTTCTCAATATTTCTTATGTTTCTTTTCACTGTCGATGGTAATTGAAAAATTAATTCTCCAAAATTCATTTTTATTTCTAGTCTGATGCGACGCCTGAACGCGTTTTGTAATAACTTATTACATTTTCAAAGACTTTAGTTTACACACACAACTGTAACCTGTAAACACACATCCATACTTATACTCACATTTGGGTGAGGTGATATGGTACAAAAGTATTGGGTGAGGTGATTGACATTTACACAAGATAGAACACGAACCACTGGGTATAAAAACATAAGAATGGAAGTAACTGCAGAAGGCCTATTGGCCCATAGCATCACTACTTCCTCTTGATGCTTCTATATTGGTTCGGAATCTTGAAGTGGGTAGAATATAGTTGTGCATTAATTGGCTGTTGATTGCTGGTGTTGACGTTTTGATGTGTAGTGCCTCACAGATGTCGAGCCTCCTGCTATCGCTGTATCTATTGATGATTTCTGTGTTGTTTGTTAAGATTTCTCTGGTGATGGTCTGGTTGTGAGAAGAGATTATATGTTCCCTGATGGAGCCCTGTTGTTTA